TAGATGTCCGCCCGAGGAGGCTTCGACACGGACGCAGACGCAAAGGAGCTCCTTCTGATAATATCAAGCTAAGAAGGTGAGAAGTTGTTTCTGCGACCGTGAGAGAAGAGTACCTGCCTCCGTGTGACTTACAGCGGGCATACATGAACGTTTTTGCCTAATGCGAAAATGGCCAGAGCGTTGTGATGATCTTCAATGAACCGCTCTCTATATATATTTAAGGCCGGAGGTGTCCACAGGATGAACGGCGTTTGGTTTTTCCACCTACCTGTAGCCTGTTGTCGGACAGTTGTTTTGCTGGATGATAAACTAAACATTTCATGTCGCCCGCACACATGGAGGTTTTAGGCTTAAAACCATTCAGTATTATTTTTTCTTTCTTGTCTTGTTACACTTCTTTCGTGCTCTTTACCACTCGCACAGTGCGACTCGCACTTCAAACATATGCCATGCCCACTGGCTCTTGACATTCAGAGCTTGGTTTTGTGCTATCGGATGTAATCGGTGCATTTAATCTTCTATTTGATTTGCACGAGAGCGTGGGAAGGCTTTGGGATGCCGTCGTCCAGCGGTCCGGAACCTTACTTTCCGGATCGTGGCTATGACAAAAGATGAGGATTGTATACGTAGGTTATGAGATATTTATATTGACAGCTTCAGACCTTTGCTCCTAAGTGATGTCACCTAAACAAGTTCAAATCGGCACTTCGATTGCGAGCTGTTTGGCGACATTTTGCACGCGAAAGATTAAATCTCTCTCTAGTATGGAAAATATAATTTCTGGTCTCTGGAGATTACCTAGAAAGGGGAGGTTTACTGTCAAGCAAAAAGACGCTGTTGTTCCCGAATGCATATCTTTAATTCTACGCACGGTCTTCCCTTGCAGAATATGATTCAACTAACCCTGAACATGTTCTAGTTCACTTCGACGGTTAATGGACTGTTGGCCTGCTGGATGTGCACAAGCTCGCGAAGTTTTGCAACAGCGAAGCATAAAATGAATCATTATACGTACGATGTTCTATGCCATATGCGAGATTAATTGAGCACACGAGGATGCTTGCTTACTGGGTAATCTCCCCCTATGTCCCCTGCTTGACTATTTGGCTTGTGCCGCAGGCTGCGCAGGCTTCGGAAATGCATGGTGCCTTCCTCGTTCCCCAGTGCAAATCGACATGGGCTATCGTGCCGTTCATGGAATCCACCTTAGCCGTGCATGTCTTGCTGCACATGTCTTACCGCGCAGCCCTAAGTTAAAAGCCCTAGGTGCGGCCCAACTTGCTCATACGGCTTCTGCACCATTGCATGGGTATCACGCCGTGCTGGCGGAACCCCTGAACGTCAACCAGCACTAGCCTAGAGGTTCACAACGTACAGACTCGTCCAGTCAAGGCGTTTAAGCTGCGGCGCGTGACCTGCGATGTGACTGTGAGGGCCACTGGCAGGTAGGGCCTTAGGTTTTCTGCTTTGTGGCTGCTATCCTCAGTTACACGCACCCCAGCACCAACCGTTTCATAACACGCAGTGCCAGTTGCCACCAAGCAGTCAGTCACATGTGTGTACAGCACACCTAGCCAGGGACGCGATATAGCCATCGGCCAAGCTCAGGCCGCAACACTTTAAGCACTTGCACACTGCAAAAAAACAGCCCCCAGCCTGCTGACGCCCTCCCTCACCCCAAGGGTCCCAATCGTCTGCCATGCAACGCCTTTGTGCATGGGTCATCTTTAACCTTTGCACTACCTGCAAGCTGCTGATTTGAAGGAATCCTTAGGATGTGGTGACGTACTGCGGAAGTCCTTGGGAGATTTGCCGGTCCACGGTTATCGCTCACTTATCACCAGATTCTCATCCGGCAGGGTCATGCTGAGCCGGATGCTGTGGCCCTAAAGTAGAACAAATTCTTGGCGCTGAGTGGCTATCTGCGATGGACTGCCGCCAACACCCCGGTTCCCATTCCCCGCCATTCACCACCGCCATTCGCCATTCATTCGCCATTTCCCCCCCCTCAACCTGGTGCTGCTGGCCGAGTTGCTGCAAGCTGCCGGATGTAGTTTGCGAAGGTAGACACAGGAACCTGCAAGAAATTCGCTTGCCTGGAGATCTAGTGAAAGTCTACCGATGCCGTTGCCTGCCCTTTCAGCACCCCCTCTCTGTATCTCCCACTTGTTCGACTTGCAACCATCCCGTGACCATTATCTCTTCCGAAAGGGCATCGCCCGATAGCGATCACGAGGGAAGCTAGGCGCACCGCAACTGGGGGGGGATATGACGATTCCTCTCCGGGTGGGAGAAGCGGTGCGCCTACACACCGACTGTCTCCGAACGATGGCAAGATTGGTCTGATCCTGGCCAAATAAACGCCTCAAATCTCTATAAAGCTTCTTAAATATCTGTGGTAAAAACATACCTTCACACTTCCTCTCCCACCAAATGCAACCTTCGTCTCACTTTGGACCCGTACAACCTTAGCAACCACCTTCACCGTACACAGTATTTCTGAAGTCAAAGAGCCCGCCACCGTAAGGGCCGGATTAGTTGGGGCGAGCATCCGTATGATACGAAGGGCTCACTTACAACCTTTGTAACGCTCTCAGCCTAAGCGAGCGCCATTCACCACGCACGGCATCCCACCCTCCATCCCCCTGCCAACCTAAAACACCCCGGCCACCCGCGCTCCGTGCGCCCCCCTCTCTGCCTCGCCTTACTCCTGCTCCCACCGTAAACTCTCCCCATTTCGTATCTCCAACTCTCTCACTCTCGTCTCCGCGTCCCCCCGACCACCCCCGGGTGGTGCACCCGGGCACCCGTTATAAGTCACCTAAGTTGGCCCCGCATCTCTCCTCTGACACGCGGTAGTCATCAATGGGGAAACTGTACACTTTCTCCCGAAAACTGGACTCACACCCTGATAGGTCCCCGCTGCTGTTCGGAAGGCTGCTGCCAGTTGTTCTGCTATCTCTTCGATAAGGGGTGTCAGTCCACATCGTAGCCTCGCCTCCAGCGATTCGTGTATCCATCGCAGAGATCCTGCCCTACCCGCCAGAAAAAACTGTTCCAGCGCGTCCGCCAGACCGATCACCATAAGTTCTTTGCGCCGCCCCACAAAAGTTGACTGCCGTCCTCGGAGCCCAAAAATTCTTCGATTCGTAATGCCACTATCGCTCCTGGGTCTGAGGCCGCGTTGTACTCGAACGTGCCTCTGAGTGACGTGGCCTTGTCTCCGTGTTCTGCAGCCAACGTCTTTCCCCAAGGCTCGCCAATCCACTTGTTGCCCGACCGGGTCCCTGGATTCGGACCGGATGTCCCTTTCCGCTTGTCTGCCGGCAGCGGATGACCCTTCGGCTCTAGCCTGGCGTATGTCCTCCGATTCCGCCCTGCGCCTGGGCAGGCCTTGACGTTTTGGAGCGCCCTTCTCCCCTCACGGCATCCTTGCCTCTGGTTTCCTGATGGGCCAACCAATGACGTTTGAATCGGCCTTCGCCCCTCCTCATACAGAAAGATGCTAATGCATTCTTCAGCCGCCTAGCTGAAAAACATTCCCAGGCAAGGGCGTTTGGTACGATTGTTTATTTCTGGCTTTCCCACACCTTACTCGGGCAACTACCCTTTTGGTCTCCATCGGTGGGTCGACCCTTTCTGGGGTTTTATGGGGAACGTGCCCTTGGGCCTTCGGCTCGTATGGGTAGTCTTACAGGTATGGGGTCACGCACCCCCCAACCATGTAACACACACACACAAATGTGTCATACCCGTGTCATCCCGGCAGCACCTGTACAGCGCACTGGGGAATGGTCCCTGGTCCCACACTGTGCGCTCCCTCCCCAGGCGGTTAGTGTGCCTGCTGTACCGATTAATTGTGTTGCCTCCTGCATCTGTAGCGGGGTCCCTTTGGCATATGCGGTCCGGTGAGACCTCCAAGCAGCAATTCTGTACAGTTCCCATTGGATGTCATGCTGCCAGGGCACCGTTGTTGGGCGCAGGTACTCCTCAGACCTGCCCCTATCAGGTACACGAAAGGTACTGGTTGATGAGTGCCAACTGGGCCCGTCGCTGGGCTGTACCTCTCACAGGACCTGCAGAAACCATTTAACTTCTCGATTGCTGGGCTATCTTCTCAATTCCGTTGGCCATCGCCACCTTCCACTGAACATAAAGTATCCGCCCGCATCTGCCCAGAGATGGCCAGGGAAACTGCTGAGACCGCAGGTCCTGCACAACCCCCCAGCAAGTAAGCGAAACAAAAACGATGAATCCTTGGTAATCGCAGGGAAAGAGACCAAAGCTCTCGTTAATACATGAAGGATATCTCCACCCGGATGTGCAGGAAGTCGTCCAACTTCTCCATTGCCGGGCGATCGTCCCGATTCACCAGGCCACCCCGCGCGCCCGCTGAGTGTGCAGTGTCCGTCCGAATAAGTCCTGATCCAGTCGGGACAATCGCCTAGTGTGCTGGTACCGGAGCCGGCAGAGCTGGTGGTTCATAGGTGCCTCGGACGCCCGCACCCTCCCCCCAGCGGTCTCACCTCAAGTTCCTTTCTTCATGGCAGTTAGTTTTCAGGCTGTCCATCGAGCCAGCCTGTGCTGCGAAGGAAATAGCTCCTGGTTCCGATCATTTTCACCTGGGAAATTCACGTCAACCCGCCAGGGACACAGTCCCTTCCTTCTCCCTCAATTTCTGCCAATCGTTGAATGAATCGCATCTTTGACCTGTGGTTGTATGTTTGCCAGTCGTACCTCAGTTTCCTTCACAGCACCTCTGTAAGTATTACTCCGTTGAGCTTCAGTCACGTACGTAACACTCTCGAGTCAGGCTCCCAGCCCCACTGTAGTGGCATCCGCAACACCTTACACAGGCCACCAAGCTTGACCCCTTACCCACTACAGCTTCGTCTATTCAGCCTCCCTACGTTCGTCTTAGCAATAGAATTAGCACACTTACCATACGCCTTCACCCTGGCTCTCACGCCTCATTTCGTTCATCTCCCACAGTCAACATCCTAGCTTTTCCCTTCCAGCATCACCTTGGTCGTATCCGCAACCCTAGCCTTGGCCGTCCCGCCCATCTCAGTCCCATTGTAAGAAGGGATCAGCTCCCCTGGCATCTCCCTGAGTACTCTTTGCCTGGTGTTACATTGGTGTGAATTGCTAGGAGGTGGGAATACCCCGGATCGATTCCGGTTGCAAACTTAGCGCACACCAGGCATGATGCAGCATGCTCATACCAAAGGTGGATGCCCGGGTGGGCGAGAAGTCTACCAGCCGAATAAAAACAAAGTCCTCTATCTCGGACGGGGACTGACGAAATTCCACAATAACAAACATACTCACAATCCTACGGGATCTCAAGCAACGTAAAATCCTACGGGATATGCCCGGGGGTGCCCGAGGACATTCGCTCGAGGGGGGGAGGAATGTAAGAAGGGATCAGCTCCCCTCGCATCTCCCTGAGTACTCTTTGCCTGGTGTTACACCCATTCACCAGACCCATCATGGGTCATCCTCCACTTTGGTCACCTCCGCGACCTTCCACATAGACTATCTGGCTCACTTTGGTCGCGTCCACGACATCTCAGCACGGGGCGTCCAGTCATATCAAACAGGCAGCATTTGTGACATATCCTCGACGACTCATGTTAGGTCTTGTGAGTCTGTTTCAGTCGCATCCGTGACACTTCAGCCTGTGCCCTGCTGCCCAGTTTAAGGCTCATGCGCAGCATGTCGGCGATATTCCAGTTACCTCCACATTCACACAAAGGTCATACAGCTTCCGTCCATCCGCTTACGTAACTCACATCAAGTCACCACAAACCAGGAGCCCACGACGAACAAGGCGCAAGGGCAGCAGAACGGAGCCCTAAACTCTCGCCCAGGAACTAAAACTAAATCGAGGACACCAAAGTTCCCGGGCCATTGGACGGCATCCTGCCACGCATAAAAACACTTCCTAAATGCCTTCCCCAGCCAACCCACCCGCAGTTCCTGGGCGAGTGGCAGGTGGTGTTATGAGTGTCAAACTCACCTGCATGGGAATTGTGGGAATTTAACTCGTCCACCAACGCGGCAACAAAGGCGAACTTTGGTAACGCTGATGTATTGCATGGTGAAGTCCAGCGTAGAGTGGACGACGTTCGGTAAGAAATTGTCACCGGCGGCAAGGTATGATTCGGAAGTTGCTGAGCTGCGTCTAAGAAAGAAGTGGATAGCCTGAATTCCACAAGCGCAATGTAAGAGAGGAGGACGATGCTCTCGGAAAAGAAGTGCCGCTGCCGTCTGCAGGCACCCTGCTGTCTCATACCCAGTGTCTTTGTTCAACATATTTACTCTCGGGCTATCCAGATGTGGCCCGTTGGGCTCCTCGCTGCGAAGATAATACCTTATTCCTCCGGTCGTTTCATGTGGGGAAGTCGCAGTGAACTAACCGGAATAGTGACATCCTCATAAGGGCCTTCGAGCCTAGCCTCGATCGCATGCATAGCTTCCCCGCACGAGCCATCCAGGCTCACCTCAGTCAAATTCATGGGCCCCCAGCATGGTCCATCTTACCACTGTTTAATGAACTCTCTGACCTCTTACATGACTTCCGCTTCATCGCAGCCAGCACTGTCAACCTGAGGATAGACCATCCGGTGCGCTCAGTGACATGCACGATGTGCAAACAACGGCCCTCGCGCCCTTAGGACATTCACCTCTGCATGGGTCAACCGGCCCCACTTCAGCCTCATACGCGATACCGTAGCATGGGTAGCACGAGGGCTCACTTCAGTCGCATCCGCGACATCCCCAGCATGATACCCAACCCACAACGCAATAACGACAGCAGATGCCCTCAACGAAATCAACCAGCGCGGACCGGTGTGCCTGAATAGGCAGCCCTACAGATGAGCTGCACCGCTTGTGGGGTCTCGAGACCCCAACTATTGCAACGCCCAAAATCACCATGAAGGAAACGCCTGCGAAATACTTGCAATAACACTTAAACACGTCACGATGCACGAACAGCTGTGGTCATACATAGATTGCCCATTGGGACATGGACCACCTGAATGACACAACACCTCACCACACAACACGAGCTGATAGTGCCATGGCCCATGCATGGGACACCGGTGCACGCACCATAAACAGGGTGCAGAGCATCCATCCATTATTGTACTCCTGCTGCACGACCTCGTTCTGGCAGGATCTGGCTGCTTCGTTCGTTCATGCCCTGGCCGGCAGTGACACACATCGGGGCGGATGAAGCCCTGCTTTCTCCGGCCGCTTTAGTCTGTTGTCCAACGGACACCTTGATCGGTGTCCAGGATTCCACTTGGGCGGCTCCCTGCATCTACATGGGCCCTCGCATGATGTTCCTCACCCTCCCTGCCCCGTTCAGCCGGCCCTCGATCAGGGCATAAAACGTGCTGTTCACTACAGCATCCGGCGGGAGCCTTCCGTCCCAGTACTTGTCGTACAGGGACGTTAGGCGTTCACGGACAGTTGTCTTGATCGCCTCGACATTTTGCGGGTCCTTGGTGACATCAAATGCAGCATATGGATCAATGCGACCACTGTACATGCCATGCCCAAACATGTCGTAAAATCGCGACTCGTCCATACGGAAGTGCAAGCCGTAGCTACCGATGGGCTCGAAGAAGCGGAAGAGCGTCTGGTAGCGCTTCGTGAAACCAAATTTCGCAAGAGAGTTGATAAACCAGCGGTCCTGCGGGGTACGGTGCGGAGGTGGCAACCGAAGGTCAAGCAGCGGCGGCAAACAAAACTTTTATCTGTTCCTGTCGATCAGACCACTGAGTCGTTTGTCCATTTGCACGGCTGTCCCAATGCTGCATGTCAAGCATTTCAAGGCCGCACCCTAGCTAAAATGATGGGATCTTGCTGGATATGGATCGCGATCGTCAAACGTCTGTCGCAAGCAAGAGGGATCCGATGTGGATATTCGGCAACCCTGATCAAGTGTTCATCTGGGTTACCAGCTATCGGCTGATCGCTACGGGAGCGCGATGTTATTCAGACATACATATCAACACATAACGCCCTAACGCACCTGCGACAGCGCTGTTGTCGGCGGGAAGCCCTTTGCCTGCATCAGTGCCTGGATCGCCTCGCGTAAGGGAGGCAAGTGCTTCGCGCGGTACTCATGACCCTTAATCACGTCGTAGTAGTCCCGAAGGCAGCCACGCGCGAGCTCATACTTGACACGGTGCAGGCCAAACACCCACAAATGACCCATATGGCCGACCACGGGGATAAGGCCCGCGGCAAAGCGCTCGGCATCTAGGAACGGCGACAGGTCCATGTCAAGAAGGCTCACAATACCGATTTCTGGCTCAAAGACGGATAGTTGTGCCATCCGCCGCAGCAGCTGCGGGAGATATGGGTAGGGGACAGTAGGTAGGACAGCATTAATGGGGTGGCGGAATTTTAACTGCTCGGCCTGCTTGCAGGCAGGCAGGCTTGCACACGTTGACCTGCCTGGCTAAAATATATAAAGGCACTGATTGGTCTAGCAAGGATACAAAGCGACGAGTCCTTGTTCCTAGGCAATCACAGCGCTCAATAAGCGTATGCGGGCTGCATATGATGGAAAGCAAACATGTGCATGCGAAGTGCGCCTGCGGTTCGAACACCGCTTCACTCTTGGTTGGGTATCAGGTCGTCAGCGTACCTGCAGCGCCTGAGGGTGTATGATGTTGTCCTCCTCCACGATCAACAGAATGTCGTAACCCATAATGTCGAAAGCGAAAGCCTTGACAAAGTAATGGTGCAGACCCGTGCAAAGGTTTGCTGGATGGCGAATGTAGGCGAACTGTATATCGCTGGGGATGGACACGGTTCCATTCTCGAAGATAGAAGCGGCGCCGCCATCCTGTGAAATGAAAAAGTCAAACTCGGCCAAGCCCTCGCTGCCGAGGATGGCAGGAATGGCTCGGTGTATCATCTCCATCCGCTCGAAGCACATGTAGATCACAGCTACTTTGCTGCGTTTGGTGAAGTTTCCAAGAAGCCTCGTCTGTGCAGCCACAGGGTCCGCCAGCAGGGAATCCATGTAGGCTGCAGCGAGCGCCGGCTGCGACATCTCCTCAAGACTGCGATCGGAAGCCTGCGCTGTCCCTCCTAAAGTGTTTTGATTTGCTTCCAGCGCTGCGATTGTAGCTACTCCTACATCTTCTGCTTGGTGTCCGGCTTGGCGATAGGTAGGAACTTCCCGGTCAACACCCTGGCTCCGCGCTGCGGTTACGAGTTGATTATGTGTGGCATAATATGTCAGAAGCGCCGCTAGGAGTAGTTGGCGATGGGGACAGGAGCCGCGTAAGCAACGCGGGTGCAATGTCGCAGTCATGTTCTTGGATAGATGTCCGCCCGAGGAGGCTTCGACACGGACGCACACGCAAAGGAGCTCCTTTTGATAATATCAAGCTAAGGGAAAAACCTTTCTGCGACCGTGAGAGACGAGTACCTGCCTCTGCATAAACGTTTTTCGCCTAACGCAAAAATGGCTAGAGCGTTGTGATGATCTTCTTGAAACCATATATATAGTGAAGGCGAAGTTGTACCACAGGATGAACGGCGTTCGGTTTGCCCACCTACCTGTAGCCTGCTGTCGGACGGTGGTTTTGCTGGATGGTAAACCAAGCATATCATGTCGGCCACATACATGGAAGTTTTAAGTTGAAAAACCATTCAGTAAAACTTGTTACTGCTAAACTAACTTTCGTGCTGTTTATAGTACGCACTTCGAACATTTGCTCTTAAGTCGCTACCCCTGAGGCCATGACTTCTGGCTATTTGCAGTCAAACCATGGTTCTATGTTCCCTGATTTAAGCTGGGCAATTGGTCTTCCCTCACCCTTGAACGGTGCGATAGCGAGAGCCTGGAAAGGCTCTGGAAGCCGTCGTACAGCGGTCCGGAACCTTACTTTCCGGGGTAGATTACGACACAAGCTGATGATTTGTTCACATATTTTATAAAAGTTATGATTTCGCAAATTCAGACCTTTGTTCCTGAGGCGTGTCCTCCAAGCAAATTCTTAATCGCAAAAGCTAATTGGTGACCTTCTGCACGCCAAAAATGAAGACACAATCTGCTATAAAAATTATTAGAAAATAATTGTTATGGAAATATTTATCATTGTCCATGAGCATCACTTGTGGAAAGGTGTGGTTTACAGCGGCAGTCGAATAAAAATCCGCTGCTGCTCTTGAAAGTATAGTTTGACATAAATGTAAGGCCTTCTCAAACCTTTTTAAGGATCTCTCTTGAAAAATTTAGTTGAATGTACCTTGAAAAGTTCTAGTCCACCTCAGCGGTTCAAAGGTTTTATGGCCTGTTGGCCTGCTGATGCTGTACAAGCTCGTGAGGCTTGCAACAGCGAAACACCAATATGGCCTAGATTTGTTATTCCGTGTGATAATAAGTGTATATCCGAGGCTCTTTATTTACGCGTTACAGCGGCAGGATGCAGGACTACAGGGTAAAGGACATGGGCCCTAATGGGCCATCGTTCCATTCATTAAATCCATCTTAGCCGTCCATTTTGTACTGTGCAGCCCTATGATAAAGCCCTTTGTGCGGACCAGTTTAATACTACGGCTTTTGCGCCATCGCATGGATGTCACGCCGTGCCGCCTAGTGCCCGCGAACATAACGCGTGTCTTGCCAGAGGAGTACCCATCAGATGGGAAGCAACTGGGAGTGCAAATGGCGAAGTATAAGCACTGGATTGGGCTGCCCTTTTCGGGAGCCGCAGCCGTCATGTGGCCAACACATGCTAAGGTTTTCATTCCTCGTTTAGCACATCGTAAGCTAATGCAGTTTCGTTTATGTTGCTGGGCTCTGGAGGCAAACAGAGCATGAAGGGGCAAGTACCATGTCCCCAGGGGGCAGCGGTTTTGCCACTGTTGTGGTACTAATAGCCGAATTGAGGATGACAAACACGTGTTAATGGAATGCCCAGCCTATAATGATACTCGTGCTGAAGAGGGATTCGATCATCAACAAAGCATGCTGGAGGCCATGAAATGGGAGCGAGCACGTCTGTCGAGGATGTTGGAACGTATGTGGGCTCACCGAAACTCAATTACCCCCTTTGGACGCTAGTCTGGGCTGATGTGCGGTGTTTCCCTTTCCTCCGTGGCTTTTAGGCGTTGTAGTATTGCCCTTGGGCCTTCGGCTCATATGGGTAGTCTTACAGGTATGGGGTCACGCACCCCCAACCATGTAACACACACACACACATAACGCGTGCATGTTGAAGTGCTGGCATACAAACCGCTTGACAACATGCATAGCACCAGAACAATACTGAAATACTTATTCAAACGAACACCTGCATAAACCATCGATTAACTCGAAAGCATTAACGCTCACGCGTACCGTGCGTGAAATCCTGACATTGATGCATCCTGCTGCCTGATGAGACAAGAGACAAATTCACCCTAGAGCAATGATCGCTCCTAATACACCCGGCCCTAGTATGTGCTACCAAAACTTGATTGAGGCTGCACCAGGCATGTGCACCGTAACATGATGGATGCAGTGGGGTGTAACACAGCAAAGGCGTAACTCGGGAAACTCAGATTGGCATTTGCGTCGTTACATGGGGGCGCACATGCCTCTCTGCCTCTAATAATGCGTTTTGCCCGTGATGTCCCTGACGACCTCCAGACCATTCAGCCGGCCTTCCAGGATGCCATGGTACGTGTTATTCACAAGTACTTCAGAAGGCGACGCTCCGGTCCGATACTTGCCGAAAAGGGCCGTTAGCCGCTCGCGCACGGAGGTCTTGACGGCCTCACAGTTATTGGGGTCCTTGGTGACATCGAAAGCTGCATTTGGGTCGATGCGGCCGTCATACATGCTATGCCCAAAAATATCGTAAAATCGTGACTCATTCATACGAAAATGCAGGCCGTAGTTACCGATGGGCTTGAAGAAGCGGAAAAGCGTCTGGTAGCGCTTTGCAAAACCAAATTTTGCAAGAGAGTTGATAAACCAGCGGTCCTGCGGGGTAACCCCAATGCAAGCGTTCGATTCAAGCATCCGTTCAGTCCGTCTGACCCAGATTACTTCCCATCATCAGGTACACCCAACACTTAATGGCTTGGCTGATGATCAATCCTGATCCTATGCTTTCATTTTTGCTGAAAGGATACCTCGGGGTGGGACCTGCCGTCCGTACATTGTTGGTCATCTGGAGATCGTGCCCTGGTGTATCAGATAGGGACTAGATCCCCCGATGTCAGCGAAGCGTTCATGCATGTGGGTTATTGGTCATCGGCCGATCCGTATGGGAAAACGCTGTGGGTCAGACATACATATCGACACAACGCCCTAACGCACCTGCGACAGCGCTGTTGTCGGCGGGAAGCCCTTTGCCTGCATCAGTGCCTGGATCGCCTCGCGTAAGGGAGGCAAGTGCTTCGCGCGGTACTCATGACCCTTAATCACGTCGTAATAGTCCCGAAGGCAGCCACGCGCGAGCTCATACTTGACGCGGTGCAGGCCAAACACCCACAAATGACCCATATGGCCGACCACGGGGATAAGGCCCGCGGCAAAGCGCTCGGCATCTAGGAACGGCGACATGTCCATGTCAAGAAGGCTCACAATACCGATTTCTGGCTCAGAGACAGATAGTTGTGCCATCCGCCGCAGCAGCTGCGGGAGATATAGTTTGGGGACAGTAGGTAGGACAGCATTAACGGGGTGAGCGGAGTTATAAGTGTACGTAGGACTAAACGAGCAAGGTTCTAGCATTCCTTAAGAGTTTGGAGCTGAGCCCAGAGCCGGTCTGCGTGGTGACGACCTCATAGCGGATTACGCCACCGTTAGGTTGCCAGTGGGAAGCATACTAAAGAGTTCGCTAGGCTCGACTCCCGTTGGGAGTGCCCGGATACCCTAGGTGCTCCACGCACCTTCCCAAGTGGAAGTACCGGTGTCAAGGCATGTCGCTATCTGAACTGGATGATGGGGGCGGCCCATCTTAGGGGTACGCGGCATAAGTGGCTGGCCCACGCTGGAACCGCCATGTCCCAACGTTTACATCAAGTGCTTATGCGTTTCCGGTTAGGCTGTTGGGAATTAAAGATTAACGGCCGTGAGTGCACAGCGCGCACCTGCAGGCTTTGCAACTGCGGGGCGGTTGAAGACGAAATGCATGCTTTTGTGGAATGCCCGGCGTACGCTAGTACACGGGCTAAGTACGAATGTGACCTCGCGTTTCAAGGGCGTGACATGCGCACGATTATGACCGAGGCCCCACTCCTGGCACTAGCCAGGTTCCTCTCGGAAGTTTGGGAGACCCGGCACGTTGCTCTAAGGCGCTCCGTGCTCAAGCGGACGAGGGAAGACGATGATGGTCCACCACGTAACCGAACTAAAAAAGATTTACCGTCCATGGCACCCCCGGCGTTTACGGAGAACCTCACTTGTGCGGAACTTGTAATTCGTAACTTGTTAATCTGCTTGCATATACCGCATGCCACACCTCGGCCCCCACGCAGGGCAGGCTTGCGCATGCTTACCTGCCTGGCTAAGTAAAGCGCCTTGAAAGCGCCTTGTTCCTAGGCAACCACAGCGCTGCGTATGTTGGAAAGTGAACATGTGCGCGTGCGGTTCGAACAGTTCAACCCCGCTTCACTTTAGGTTGGGTATCAAGTTGCCGCGCATCACCCATATTGAAAGCGTACCTGCAGCGCCTGAGGGTGTATGATGTTGTCCTCCTCCACGATCAACAGAATGTCGTAACCCATAATGTCGAAAGCGAAAGCCTTGACAAAGTGGTGGTGCAGACCCGTGCAAAGGTTGGCTGGATGGCGAATGTAGGCGAACTGTATATCGCTGGGGATGGACACGGTTCCATTCTCGAAGATAGAAGCGGCGCCGCCATCCTGTGAAATGAAAAAGTCAAACTCGGCCAAGCCCTCGCTGCCGAGGATGGCAGGAATGGCTCGGTGTATCATCTCCATCCGCTCGAAGCACATGTAGATCACAGCTACTTTGCTGCGTTTGGTGAAGTCTCCAAGAAGCCTCGTCTGTGCAGCCACAGGGTCCGCGAGCAGGGAATCCATGTAGGCTGCAGCGAGCGCCGGCTGCGACATCTCCTCAAGACCGCGATCGGAAGCCTGTGCTGTCCCTCCGAAAGTGTTTTGCGCGGCCTTCGGCTCAGAGGCTGCTGCTGCCCAGATGCCTTGGTATCCGTTTTCGTGAAGGGCAGCCTCCCGCCTGTCAAAACGCGGGCCTGCCGCCGCAGCTGTGATATAGATCTGAACAGCGTAACATGCAAGGAACGCCGCAAATAGTAATCTGCAATGGAGGCAGAAGCTGTGAGCGTAGCGCAGCCGCAAAGTCGCGGCCATTTCGTTGGACGCCTGGAAACGCCAGGACTGATGACTGCATGGATTACGCGATTAACTGTTGTTGTGGAATCGATGACTTGAATATCATACCGCTACAGCATCTATATAATCCTCCTTGACACTGGCCGGTATGCGATACCGGTCTGCATGCAAAACTGAGGCATGATCAGCTTATTTCGCATAAGCTAATTTCAGCCCAAGCATCAGCAATTTATAGTGGTTGAATCTGAGCATTGAAAGTCATGTCTTGTGAGATTTGGCTTCAGAGGTCCACAAACCCTGTGGCTCGTACTGCAAGACACTCAACCGAAATTAAGCCGAGCTCCTTTTGGCTGCGGGTTCACCGTAGAATTTTCGAAGGCATGATTTTCCTGCCAAATTCCTCACCTAAAAATGGTGTCCTTTACGCGTTTTAGCAGTTGGCATTGTTAAACTCAGCTGCTAAAATCTTTGAGGTGCGTGTCAGTTTAGGAAGGATAATAGATGAGGGCAACTACCTGATCCATGTGCTAACACCATGGCTTGATGGAGCGCAAACATGCTTCACCTAACTCTTCGCCTAAGGCTTACGTTTTGGCGGCGCCTCGCCTGTGCAGCAATTCTTTCTGCCATAAGACCTTCTGGCGCTGATTCCATTTGAACGGCTCTGTCCTTTCGTTACAAACTTTGGATTCAACACCACCGTCGTAAGGCGAGCAGCCACAGCTCTTGGTTTTGCGTTCGCAGCAACAATTCCAGTCAATTAAAGTTTCCTCACCTTATGATCCTATTTTTATCGGGTGACAAACTTCAATTTTTGAGCGTCATACGCGTGCATAGCGTAACACCGGTCGGTGCATCCCATCCCATTGCGGTATTAGTCGGAGATTTCCAGCGCATGTGCTGTACAGCGGCCGCGAAGCATCGGCAACTATAACCCTGCCATGGAGTCGTGCCTGGATGTAGGAGTGAGGACCTCCCCTGCAAATTTGCTGGGCACCAGTTGGGTGCCCTGTACCGGTCAGATGGACTGCTGGTATTAAATGGGCTTGTTTCTGGGGATTTGGAGGGTCGTCTGACCTTCCCTAAGGGTAAAGCAGTTGCGGGCACGATCGATCTTTTTGTTGCTTCGGCAGTGTTCTCTGTCCTGCCCTTCGAATGCGGGTGGGTGAGCTGCTCGCGCTAGATGGTTGGTTCCCGACTGACCACCGTCCAGTTATGCTAGTGCTTGATCTAGTTGTGGGAGGAACCGAGGCGAGTGCCGCAGGGTGCTGCCGAAAGAAGCGAGCAGTGTTTGAAATTTCCCGTTATCGTGACTATGCTGCTTTGTTTACTGAGGGATCGTGGGTCATGCATGCACTAAATGGGTTAGAACACGGACCTATCGAATGGGACCTGCGACAGCACGGAGTCAGTGGAGCGCATTAGTACCCTCCTGCGGGAGCTGCTGATTCAAGTGTTTGCGGGTCGCAGGCCTGAGCGTACGCAAGCGGGGGATGGTGCATTATGGTGGAATGAAGAATGCCAAAGCGCCCGGCAACACATGCTTGCTTGCAGGGTGCGGCTGGGCCTGGCAGGTTTGGGAACAAGTCAGGGCCTTTGTGGGAAGCGCTTCGCGAGGCATGCAGCGCAATAAATCGCGCCAAGCGTTGTGTCCGAGCAGCATACAATGCAGAGAGAATGCATGAGTTCGTGGCTAGGTGCAGGCACGACCAGCGCGCATTATGGCGGGCCTTGGGAGGGCAACTCAGGGAGCGTTGTGCAATTGATGACTTGCATGTAATTCGGGATCACTTTGCCACCTTGTTAAATGGAGGAGTTGGGGAGATGGTTATTGAAGGTGCACATCGAATCCTTAACTCGCATCCTTAAATTTTTCTGGGGCCCCTTTGGGAGAGGGTGCTTGGCAAGCATGTCGGACTGTCGTGGACAGGAGGGCACGGGCAGCCAGCATCCTGGATGAGCCTTTCACCTTGGAGGAGGTAGCGCGCGCTGTCGGTAGATTACCAAACGGAAAGGCACATGGGCTTGTCGCGCCGTCGGAATTTTACCTTTATGCACGCCTCCCACAGGTGGACAAGCAGGGCAGGCGGGGACCGGAGGTAAACTGCATTGTCCCAGTGCTGCACGCTTTGTTAGAGCATATCAGGGCAACTGGCGACCTTCAACAGCAGTTTAAAAAAACGGTGGTATCCCCAATTTTGAAGTAGGGTTACCTGTTGGTGGCAGGAAACTATCGGGCATTGCAGTTGGAGGAGCACTTGTAAAGTGCTATGCATCAGTGCTTCTGAACCATCTGGTACGTGCTGGCAAGCACTGGACTTACAGCACCCTTTCAAGCGGGTTTCAGGCGGGGTTTGGGTACCGCTCGTGAACCCTTTGTCAGGCAACACCTGGTCATGCGGCATAGGAGCACGGGGCAGCCGCCGTTGATAATAGTACAGATTGACTTTGAGAAGGCCTTTGGTAGGGTGCCTCGTGAGCATATGTGGCTTCGGTTGCAGGAAGGGGGGATTGGCGGCCCCATGCCAGATGCTCTTAGAAAAGTGTACCAGAAGGTGTCCAGGGTGAATGAGAAAGTGGGAGGAGAATTTGAGTCTAAGCAAGGAGTGAAGCAAGGGTGTCTTCTATCTACGGAGTTGTTTGGACTATTCATTGAGACACTAGCTGATCTGGTTGATACTCAAGACGATGTGTGTGTGTGTGTGTGTGTGTGTGTGTGTGTGTGTGTGTGTGTGTGTGTGTGTGTGTGTGTATGTGTGTGCGCGCGCGTGTGTGTGTGTGTGTTACATGGTTGGGGGTGCGTGACCCCATACCTGTAAAACTACCCTTACGAGCCGAAGTTCCAAGGGCAATATTTCAACGCCTAAAAGCCACGGGGAAAAGGAAACACCGCACTATCAGCCCAGACTAGCGCCCATAGGGGATAACTGAGTTGCGGTGAGCCCACATACGTTCCAACATCTTCGCCAGACGTGCTCGCTCCCATTTCATGGCCTCCAACATGCTCTGTTGATAATCAAATCCCTCTTACGCACAAACATCATTATAGGCTGGGGCATTCCAATAACACGCGTTTTTCATCCTCGACTTGGCTATTGGTGCCACAACAGCGGCAAAACCGCTGCTCCCTGGGGAGATGGTACTTGCCCCTTCGTGCTCTGTTTGCCTCCAAAGCCCAGCAACATAAACGAAACTGCATTAGCTTACGATGTGCTAAACGCGGAATGAAAACCTTAGCATGTGTTGGACACATAACGGCTGCGGCTCCCGAAAAGGGCAGCCCATTCCAGTGCATATACTTCGCCATCTGCACTCTCGGTTGCTTCCCATCTGATGGGTACTCCTCTGGCAAGACAGTCAGGCACGCATGGTCCCAGCCGCTCATCAAACGCTCCTGTAGTGCCGGGGAGAGGCCTACTCAACAACCAGTCGACACGCTCTTTACCCCCACGACTTCTTGCGGTAATCCGCTTCAAATATTGCGCTACAAGAAGGAAAACAGTCGTAACACTGAGGTTCCCCAACCCTCCCATTCCGGATTGGTCTGAGCATTTGGTTATCTCCTGCCAGAAGACTGCATGAGCAATGGACCCCATTTGCTTTTGAAACGGAGGATCTGTTTCACCATATAATACTGCAGGGGGAGCTCAGCCAACCCCGCATACAACAACCGGTGGGATGGCCGTGCCGCCCCCACTACCTGCCTCATGAGCATAATCTGCAGCTGGACTGCGCTATCCTTCAAACAAGCTTCGAACATGCCTTTCGCAAGGTTGGCATTATCCCGCCGCCTTCCCGCCCTGTCTACGACCTCTGCCAGCGCAAAAGGGCCCCATGCCTGGCAGCCATACAACAGAATTGCGCGGGCTTGTGTTGCAAAGCACCGCATTCGCACGCCAGGGCCGAACAGCTTCATCTTGTCCAGCTTTGCGCTCAAGGAAAGCATAGCGGAGCGTCCTGTATCACATAACTGCTGGCGGCACGCACCAAAAGGCCGTTCAGGCCCGTATATCAAGCCCAGATAGCGAACGCTATCTTTGGCAGGTATTACCTGGCCTGATAGTGTAACGACACAAGGCCAATCTGAGCATCCCGTGTTACGCCTTTGCTGTGTTACAGATAGTCGTAACTGTTGACATCTCTCGCAAAGTTCCGACTGCTTGGTGCCAACATATGTGAAAACAAGCCCTTCACACTTTGAGACATTTAGTCGCATCCCAAAGGCTTCGCAGAGCAATCCACAAGATGTGGCAACTCAGACATTCGCTCTAGTGACGTCGCTAGCAGACTAACATCGTCTGCGTACAGCCGTACAGAGACGCGCTTGCTGTCCACAAGGGGTGTCTTATGCTCACGTACTCCAGCTTCCACCATAAACCATAACCACATAACCCTGCCAGCCGAGCCTTTCCAGTGGGTAAGAGATTGCCACAAATTGCACAGTCACGCTCCACCTCTTCGACACTTTCATGGGATGCGGTTGCTCGATGAAACTGGCAAGCAAGGTTTGCACGGCGCAGCCTTCCACCATTGCCTCCATGCTCTGCGGTCGCGGGCATCATCTGCCCGGATGGACACGTCCGGGAACAAACCCGCACAAACCCTAGCTCGCCTACTAGAATCCTCGGTGGCCACGCACAGAGCTGCCCCAAGACTCAGCTGAATTTTCCACCTACAAGTCATGACCGGGAGTCGTGTGTGGGGGAGAGAGTGGCCCCCTGGCGGCCACTTGCTTAACACATGGCCTATACGTCTTCCCTGGCGCGTCCGCCGGCCTGACCTGGCACCGTGCAGATTCCTGAGGTCTGAAGTCTACCCGGTCAATGCGTCGCCTCATGTGCGTGTGAGACGAATGAGAATAAAACTGCACATGGCGACTTGACATGCAGCCGTGTGTGTAACTGAAACAATGACAGGAAAACCGTATGATGCCCAACGTGCCAAACACCTCAAACATCCGAGGCCAATACGCTCGTTTGCTTAGGATCCAAAATTTTGAAGCTACGAAGTCAATCTTAAAACATTCCGCTCCCCTTTCATGGCTAGCTGCTGGTCATGCACATGCTAGAAATTTTCAGGGACTGTAATTCTACTGTGCGCCTGGTGTGGAGTCCAAAGCATATGAAGTTGGCTGGCTTGGTAGCATAGTCATACCTGGGCTATGAAGCCCAACCGGCACAGATAGGCGCATGGGACGAACTCTTGACAAATCACAACACCGCCTTGCCTGCAATAAACGTCAGCACATTCCTGCCCTGCTATCCAATTAAGCTTCAGGCAAGCAAATGAGCCGCCTGGCCGTCAATCTGCACACGCACGCGAATGAAAGCACCGAGACGAAATAGGTAATCTTCTGATCTGATATATATTAAAATGTAATCTGACCGTCCTTTCAAATCCATTGCGACCCGCAGCAGATTCATTTTTACCAAGGTGGCACAAATCGTCACACTTTGTGGGATGGCTGTCATCCCATCATCAACACACATCGCCACCAGTTCCACAAAAGGCCCAGCTCTCCGTCGTTCTGGGCGTTGCTTGCTGCCTGCTGGAGTGAACAGTACTCATCACGCAGGCAATAGTCCCGCGGCAGTCTTTATGCGTCGATGGACAATCCTGTATCCCTGCGTCATATGACTTATGTGTATACTACACGAAACAATATCGACAACACGGGCGTTTCTGACGAGGACTAGATCAGCAAATTGGGGCAACCTACCTAAACCCTGCAAAGCCAAGCATTAGCACTCGATAGTGCTGTTTGCAACGTACACGGCACCTGATTTCTGGCTGGAAGCATGCACATCTCAAACACTCGTCGCCACCTGCCAACAACATTAATGGGATAGATAGGAAACTCCTTACGCTCATGCAGCATACAACCCACACTATTCAAGCTCGCTCGCTACCATGCATGCAAATGAAGCCCTGGACGAAGGTAGGCACTCATAGATGGATGCCCAAGCAACCATCCGCTAAACCCCGTGAAGCGCCCAGCGCGCAGAGGAAGCCCCGAGTCGTTCCCCCACCGATGGCAGCACAGAGTGGCACGTGTGTGGTCCAAGAAACGGTGTACGTGTACGTGTGTATCAGTTTGTACATGCACGCATACCGACTGCAACATAAAGCTTCAGGGCCGCAGAACGTACTATTCACAAAACGAGGTACATGTACACAAGTCGTCTGTCAGCCAACGCGTACATAGCATGTCTATCCCCTAAGAAGCTTATTATGTCTCACTACTACTCTTGGAACGGGAACAGCAGACAGACAGGCGCCCACAGTGCCTAATGATATCACACGCACCATCTAGACGCAAATCTATGGACTCTTAACTCCACTTCAATGGAGCAATTTGGTACTGCACAACTGGTACCGCACGGCCGACCTAATAACATAGCAGGTTCATTCATTGGGATGCATTTATCCACACCGCAGGCAGGCAAGATGGAGCGGTAGCTAAGTAAGTCCGATGCCTCAAGGCCTCCTAGCTACCATGCGAAGGCTATAGAGATCTTCCCAACAGAAACGAATAAGATTCACGCCAATCCTGTATCCATGTACACAATGGGCCATGCATGATGGGCGCGCAATCGCTTGCATATGATAATTGCCTTCTAATGATGCGGTCCGCGCATGATGTCCCTGACGACCTCTAGACCATTCAGCCGGCCTTCCAGGATGCCATGGTACGTGGTGTTCATCAGATCTGGCGGCGGCGCAGCACCGGCCCAGTGCTTGTTGAACAGGGCTGTTAACCGTTCCTGCACGGTGGCCTTGATTGCGTCACCATCGGCGGGATCCTTGGTGACATCAAATGCAGCATTTGGATCGATGCGACCACCGTACATGCCACGCCCAAACATCTCGTAGAATAGCGACTCGTTCATATGGAAATGCAGGCCGTAGCTACCGATGGGCTCGAAGAAGCGGAAGAGCGTCTGGTAGCGCTTCGTGAAACCAAATTTCGATAGAGAGTTGATAAACCAGCGGTCCTGTGAGGCGCAGGTGTGGGTTTCGGTTTCGGACTTCGATGTGGGATTAGGTGGGCATCAGGATGTGACAGTGCATGGTTAAGTACAAGATATTCAGCTAAGCGTCAGATTCCGAAATGCAAATTACGCAAAACCAAACCTGGATTCACACCTGCGATAGCTCGGTGGTTACTGGGAAGCCTTCCTCCTTCATCAACCCCTGAATCGCGTCGCGTAGTGGAGGTAAATGCTTCACACGGTAGTCATGGCCCTTGATGACCTCGTAGTAGTCACGCAAGCAGGCACGCACAGCATTGTACTTGGCGCGGTGCAGGCCGAAGACCCATAAATGACCCATATGCCCAACTGTCTGGATAAGGCCCTCGGCGAACCGTTCGGCATCCAGAAATGGTGACATGTCCAGATCAAGCAAGCTCACAATGCCAATATCCTGCTCGGCCACTGATAGCTGTGCCATACGGCGGAGCAGCTGTCGGGTACGTGGGGTGGGGCCGGGACAAAGAACAACATTAATGGATTGAGGGAATGCATGTATGGATTTGGCTGGGTCGGATATGCTTCAGGCACTTGGCGAAAGGACGATTAGGCAAGCGGCGTACTGGCAGACATTTGTGTGCTGCCAGCTAGGCTACCCTTCGCCAAGGCGCCGGAAAAGGAAGGAAAAAATGAAGGTTGGGGCCATCATGTGTTAGCGTTTTAGTGGTTGCCGTGCCGCTGCTTATGTATTACCGCACCAAAAGCTGTCGGTGCTGTCGTACAGTACAGCACACACCTCGTTTATTCCTCATTAATATGATCCTCGATATTAAATTCACATATACCCCTACACATCTGCCCGCTCACGGCCAGGACTATATGTAGTAATCCTTCTCCGAAAGGGGCTTCTCCGAAAGGGGTAATCCTCTTATGAAGGAACCTCTACTATCGTACGGCATCTGATCCGCGCGCCTCAAACGGACTACATGCGACTATTACACCCCAAGGGAAACCCTCGACATCTTCACTATCGGTTCAGTCGCTATCTCATCCTTATTTGCCAGGTAAGCTTTTTCTCTTAAGTAGCTGGCCTTTTAAGCAGCCAGCTAACACAAACGTACCTGCAGTGCCTGGGGATGTACAACGTTGTCCTCCTCCACGATCAACAGAATGTCGTAACCCATAATGTCGAAAGCGAAAGCCTTGACAAAGTAATGGTGCAGACCCGTACAAAGGTTGGCTGGATGGCGAATATAAACGAACGGCGCGTCCCTGGACACGGTTCCATTCTCGAAGATAGACGCAGCTCCACCGTCCTGGGAAATGAATAAGTCAAATTCAGCCAAGCCCTCGCTGCGGAGGATGGCTGGGACGGCGCGATGTATCATTTCCATCCGCTCGAAGCACATGTAGATCACGGCTACTTTGCTGCGTTTGGTGAAGTCACCGACAAGCCTCGCCCGTGCAGCCACAGGGTCCGCGAGCAGGGAATCCATGTAGGCTGCAGCGAGCGCTGGCTGCGACCTCTCCTCCTCAAGACTGCGATCGGAGACCCGTAGCAAACGGCGTGCTGGCCCTCCGATATTCCCATTTTGAAATCCTGCCCGATAGAGGGCACCACCTTCCTGCCCAGAAAGCTGCCTAGCTGCTGCGTCTGCATCATAAAGCTGGAGGATGAAACATGCGATAAGGGCTACCAAAAGACGTTGGGGACGCCTGTCCTGCGCGAAATGCGGCTGCAATGTTACGGTCATTTTGTCTGATAGCCACCCCAAAGCCCCTGCCTGAAGGTGTAGCTCAAATTGCTCTTTACTATTAATATAACTATTTCGCTGTTATGCACGTCTAGCACGGCGCAGGTGCTGTTAAAATAGCTGACTGCGCAACTGTCCGGAGCCCACGTATTCACCAAAATAAGCAGCAATAAAATTGAGTAATTGCCTTAATGTACTATAATACGTTGTGTAGTACCTTTCTAAATTGATGGGGTAACTTGTCCTGCCTAGTCGAGGTTCAACATCTGTAGCCCGTTGGGCAATTATGACTATAGTATCCTTACGGGAGCTTCTATATAATCCAGATAGCATGCAGATAAAACGTACGTGACAAGTACATTATTTGAATTATTCGCATGGCGTTACAGGCCACGATGTCTGGCCTTGGCCTCGCGACCTCAGGGTTTTGGCGTCGCCTCGCCTTCAGCCATACTTCCTGCCAACAAATCTCCCAAATGCATGCTCAAGGTTTTCCCCTATGTCTTGGAAGTTTCTCTCTCCCCTTCGCACAGTGCAATGTGCCAATGGCCTAGTGATCCAAAGCGCAAGCGTGGCGTCTCCTGTACGTGTTTGGATTCAAATCCAGAAATTAATTCTCGGAATACTCGCATACCTTTAGGGCTCGTCATCTCTGGGGAGTTCTTGTGCTTTCGCATCTTGGGCATCCAGGACGTTTGGGCTGCTGCTCTCACATGTTCTTTCGATTCTGCCAGGCTCGAATAAGAAATTTGTTTCTCTATGCATAATCACAAGGTCTGCAGTGACCCAGAAGAATGTGTTTCTCTTTCCGTATGTCCGATGATATAGTAGCGTGTAACATCCGCATAGTCTGTACAATACAAGCACTATGCGAAAGGTTATGTCAAGACACAAGCATATGCTGCGTTTGGTAAAAAGATGGCCAACCGATTGGCCAACGGAAACCAGAATTACAGAGTAAGAGTAGATAGCAGGGGTCGGCAAATCGGTTTCTACGGTTGCCTGATGGCATAATTTCGGTCAGTAAACCTAACTATAATGTTTCACAGTTAGTTGACGAACTTTCGTATTTGACCTCGTATTTGACCTTGTCGTGACATCGGAGCTAGCGGAGCTAGGACTCAGCTGCAGGTTTACGGCGTGTGATGTTGTTGATCGCTAGCTTGGCTATTTAAGCGGACCCAATCATCGAGGTCATTTATCCTGAATATAAATTCTGGAGCGGCTTCCGGCGCCAAAAAAAGCCAGCATTAGAAGCGCTGCTCGTTCCGTACACATTTCAGTCCGATTGTTTTACAAGGTCACGCCTTGCGCCTCTGTTCGTCGCCGTGCTTGTGCGCGCTGCACATGGCACGGCGGGGTTCACCCAGCAGTGGAAGCAGCCATGGTAGCACCACATCAGCAAATGACAAGAAGTTCTTCTGGGCTTGCGCCAGGAAGTTAATGTTGCTCGCCGAGCTATCGACACTCGCACAGCCGGCCGCATGCTGTTGAAGTCCAGAGTTCAAATTCAGCGCGGTGTCCTACGGGCCGCAATACACGTCTTTTGGTCAAGTTTACGTCATTAGGGATCCGCAGCCGGGGCCTTAAGCCGAATTTCGGCTCCGGGTACTGTGGTACGGACCCGCAGTACCCGATTACTGAACAACAGACTGTTGTCTCCCACCAAGCGCCTCTAAGAAGAAAGGCATCTTGATCCAATTAGTGTTTGTTGCGGTACGCACATGCATTGAGCTAATTTCTTCACGCATGGACGCCAATGCCAGATATCAAAAGGCAAGATGCACAAGCACAGGTAAAGAAACCTTAAATCCTGATTGGTGGGTAGGCAGTAAGGCAAGCTGCATGCAGTTGCTCAGGCGGTACGAACGAAGAGACAGCCACAGCCACATGCAACGTTATAAGTTACAAGTACCTCACACACGTGCGGGGGTGTCTGTAAAATCCGGGGGCACATGGACGGCACATTGCTATTAATGCGGGTACGCGGGGGCCCATTATCACCCTCCCTCGTCCGCTTCAGCGTGAAGCGCCTTTGCGCAACGTGCCTGACCTCCCAGACTTCTAAGAGGTGCCTGGCCAACGCCAGGGCCAGCGGCTCGGTCACCATGGTGCGCATGCTGCGCCCTTGAAAAACGATGCCACACTCGCACTTAGCCCGTATGTTCGTGTAAGCAGGGCATTCCGCGAAAACATGCAATTCGTCTTCAACCGCTCCACAGTCACAAAGCCTGCAGGTACACGCGGTGCACGCGCTCACGGCCGTTTGGTCGGTTAACCTCTAACTCCCAACAGCCCAACCGGAAACGCATGTGTGGTTGGTGCAAGCGCTGGGCTATTGTGTGCGCCAGCCACTTGAGACACGCACCCCTAGGCGGGGGTGCTCCCATCCAGTTCTGATATCGGTACCGCTACTGGGGAAAGCGCAGCGGCCACCCAGGGTATCCGGACACTTACACCGTGCATCAAGCCGCTTAGCAAACTGTATGCTCCGTATTGGAAAAAAGTTAAGGGTGGCGTAATGCGCTATGAGGTCATTACCACGCATGCTAGGGGGGTTTCGCTCCTAAGCTGGTAAGGAAAGCTATGACCTTGCTAGTCCAGCACTCAGTAACACCCTCCAATCCCAAGTCCAGGTCGGTGACAAACCCCTGATGGCACAGCGTTCCCGGCCTCTTAACGATGGAGTTCCAAAACCTCAGTACAAGATTGGCCCAATAGAACTGGAGCGGCCTCTGCGACAACTCGTGGTAGAGGGAAACGCCCCTACTGTGGACTGCATAAACGTGCGCTGCTTTTGGACCATAGGATTGGCCATTGCGTCTCCAAGACTCACATTCATGATGCTATTGTACGGTTGTCAACTGTGGGGCCCGTTTATGTTCGCAGAAGTCTTGGATGTTGGTGAGACGCTATCTCACAGGGACCTAGCAGACACGACTAAGGAGACATTAGCCGTTACACGTATTCGGGAGATCCGCGACCTACCACCGAAAGCCCCTTTGCCTAGGCGTAAACGTGTGAATCTGAGGTACTGTTACCGATAAACAACAGAGACTTATAAAGGCTTGGAAAGCCTATCCCAAAGGACGAGAGCTATCAGTACGCTAGAACCTAATAGCCATTATGACGGGCCTCCCGAGACAGGTCCAAAGCTGTTGGTCCAAAGCTGTTACTCAGTCTAACATGCGACCTCAGACCGGCCACAGCTGTTACTCACGACAGCCTGACAAGTTACCCAAGCAGGCCACAGGGCGACACGGCAACCCTTCGCATCAACACGCCCCCTCGTGTCGCACTAGGGGCCTTACTACAAATTGTTAGCACCGACGAGCTAGCTCGGCCACCAAGTCCGCGGTCCAGGCCGACTGCTCACCACTCAACAAACACAAACGCAGCTTGCCAGCCTTCAGCCTGATGGCTATGCGGTCTGGTGCTGCTGTTCAAACACAAACAGGGAAAACAGTGCCGTACAGCACCATACGCACTGCCTACGGCGCCCCTTCGGGCATTGACCTGCCCATTCGGGCGCCTGCTCACGCACCCTCAGCACCCCCCTAAAGCCTAGCTCAAAACAATTCCTCAAAGCCCTCAGCACTCCTCCTCTGGCGATCTAAGTGACGCCCAGCGCTGTGCGGCAGCGCACGAACTTGACCTCGCCCAGTGCCTTGGTTAGGATGTCAGCCACCATGTCGTCGGTGGTGCAATAGCTGAGCTTCACCTCACCACGCGCGACCCTCTCGCGCACGATGTGATGGTGCACGTCGATGTGCTTGGAGCGCACCGACGTGATGGGGTTGTTGCCGAGGCTGAGCGCGCCTTGCGAATCCAGCTGGACGTTGACAGCACCCGGGGAAAGGTCCAGATCGCTCGCCAGCTTGCGCAGCCACAACGCCTCGCGCACGGCTGCTGCTGCGGCCTGGTATTCGGCTTCCACGGAGGAGGCAGCTACGGTGCGCTGCAACTGACTGCTCCAGCTGACCGCCGCGCCACCGAGCAAGAAAGCGTAGCCAGTGGTGGACCGGCGGGTGGTTGGGTCGCCGGCCCAGTCTGCATCGCTGTACCCACAGAAATTGCTGGCGTCGCCACAGTAACGTAGACCAAGCGCCCGAGTGCCAGAGACGTAACGCAGCACACCCAGAGCGAGCCCCATGTGCGCTTTGGTGGGGGCGGACATGTGCCGCGCCAGCATGCTCAGAGCGTGTGCGATGTCTGGGCGTGTGCTGGTAGCGAGGTAGTTTAGTTCTCCCACCAGCGCGCGGTAGCCACTGCTGTCCGTCAATATCGGCTGGGTGTCACTGGCTGGCAGAACCCGTGTACCCTGGGGTAGCGGGGTGGCACGTGGCTTGGCGTTCTCCAGGCTGTGGCGCTGAAGCAGCTGCTCCACGTAACACTGCTGCGTGAGCATGATGCTGCGGTTGCGGCGGTCCTGGACGATCTCCATGCCGAGGTAGTAGCGCGCCTCTCCAAGGTCTCGTACAGCGAAGCAACCAGCTATGGCCGCCTTGGCGGCCGCAACCAACTGCGGGTTGTCCGCCGCCACCAGCATGTCATCAACGTGCACGAGCACATCGATTGAGCCATCGGACCCCCGCTTGACGAATAGCGCGGGGTCGGACGCAGACGGTTCATAGCCTAGCTTGCCCAGCTCCGCTGCCAGCTTCTCGTACCAGCAACGTGGGGCTTGCTTGAGGCCGTAAACAGACTTTAACAGCCGGCACGCCTGTGACGGGTCGCCGTTGCTGTAACCTGGGGGCTGTCGCATCCACAGCTCCTCTGCCAGGTCACCGTTCAAGAAGGCCGTCTTGACGTCCATCTGATGGACCGTCATACCTCTGGCTGCTGCCACAGCTAGAAGTGCCCGCAGGGAGGCTGCACGCGTAGTGGGCGCAAACAGCTCTCCATAGTCTATGCCCGCTCGCTGTTCAAAGCCTTTCACCACTAAACGCGACTTGTAGCGTACCTCACCGCCTGGCTCCTGTTTGATTTTGTAGACCCAG